GAAACTTGCTAGCATTTTCTGAGTGGTTTCTTTTTCAGTGTAGAATTTTTTTTAAATCTACTTCATCCAAGCTGTCTCAGAAATGAAATGTATCTAACCAAGTGAACAATAGTGAATTTATCCAAAAATGTGTCATCTGTTGGTCCTCTTACAGTGTACATCCTCTTAGTGGCTTTTTTGATCGGCACTCCATTTCTGTACCATTGATATTGCGGTAGGGGTCTTCCAATAGCTCCACACTCCAGATAGAGTAAATCTCCCACCAGCAGCCTTTGAGGTTGAGGCTGGATCAGCACCCTTGGCCTGCCCTCTGAAGCCAGAGACACGAATCCTGATCAAAAAGCATCAAGTTTGATATCAGTGGCATATCAATCAAGACAATTCAACCAAATTTCTTACTTGTCTCTGCTGATCACAAATGACTTACCATATCTTGGTGGAACATCGAGGACATCTACTTGGGCCCAGTGACTGAACTCATACGCGTTTCCACAGTTCACCCGACAGATGTAAAACCCTGCATCTTTGAGCCGGACTGGACTGAACACCAGGTCTGGGGAGGAGCTGTTATGTACCTGAAGGGTTGCCTTAGTTATGTAATTCATGTGAATGACTGACAGTTATTTATGTTGCTTTCTTGCAATGTTATACATCTACACACCTCTTCCGTTTTCTTAAACCACTGGAATTGCACATGTGAAGCACCAACAGCATAACAACTGAGACGAAGGTTGTGTCCAGCAATGACAGCCACCGACTGCGGCTGGACGAGGATTTGAATTCCTGTGAGATCAATTCAGAAAACAGCAACTAAACCTATGAATGCAAATAAATTACTTAAGACTATATCTGCACATAATCTATGCCAGACGTTTCAGCAGAATTTGAATGCACGTCATTTGAAAGTTGCGTATTACACTAATTCTTTCAGTTACAAAAAAAGTGTGTGTAAGTAAAGGTGCAGTAATATTTACCGTTGTTCTACTAGCAGGCAAAAAAATCTGCAATTTTGTGTGAAAGATTTACATGCAGATTTCGCAAAAAGTACAAATTGGTCACACAAACTCGCCACACTGACTAGCAGAAAGCTGGCTGGTTTTAAAGTGACTTTTGTGTGAGCTGTGCACATTAATATTTTAATATTGATAACCGCACATATTTTCATATTAACACATTTTAGAATTTTTAAATCCATTACACAGAGTTCATATTATCTTTGACAACTGGTACAGGAAAAAATTTGCACATTTTGCATGGGCCTAAGAGAAATATCACTTCTTCAAGCCTGTGTCACAGTCATGTTTCAGTTTTGCTTTCACATTTGTGAATTCATATTTAGTACAGAGCATTTACAAAACAATCAACATTAGATAATGTGATGCACTGTTGAAACATACACGCTTTCTGTACCATGTTTACACTGAGGCTGCTGTACCTGGAGGTTTCAGACACTGCAGGGCATCCGTATGACCCACGATCTGTAGAAACTCCACCAGTTCACCCACCATACATCCTTGATCTCCAATGAGTTTGAGCAGACTGCGGGAAGGACTTCCATCCGCCTCCAAAGCCTTCAGAGAACACATGTCCATATCATCGAGACTGTGCATGTGAGTGGAAGGAGACAGTAAGAAAAAGACTGTGAGTTTATTAGTATATATTACATTAAAAGAAAGAGAGAAAAAGTTATTACCTCACTTTGAATCGCTTGTCACTTTTCACAATCTCCCCCAGTTTTCGCCATCCCTTATTGTTGGCCTTGTCAAGAGACTCACAGAGCCTCTTCAACACAGATTCTTTCAAGAAATTTATGTTCAAAGAGTTGTCATTCAAATCCGACATGATTGAGGATCAATCCATCAAATAAGGCTGATACACAACTGTGATTGGTTGAGCTCAGATTTAAATGTTCAGCAAAGCACCTGCAAAATGGGACATTGAAGTGGCAATTCAATCAGTGTCCTGAGGCGTCACGTTAAAAAAGATGTAAAAATAAATAATAATAAAAAACATGGCACTTTTTACAAATTTAATTAATGCCACAATGACTATGAAATTAACTGCAATTTTTTTTTCAGAAAACCCTGATTGTGACTAACTAATATTTAGCCTAAAACAGTGGTTCTCAAACCTCTCCATGAAGTACCCCCAGCACTGCACATTTTGTATGTCTCCCTCATCTATCACACCTGATTCAACTCATCAGCTCATTAGTGGAGACTGCAAGACCTGAAGTGGGTGTGTCAGATATAGGGAGACATACAAAATGTGCAGTGCTGGGGGTACTTCATGGAGAGGATTGAGAACTACTGGCCTAAAATACTGATATTCAAAATGTTGAAATACACACAGGGTAAAATTGTATGACGGTCCCCCTCAAAAAACAAACAAAAAAAACCCCCTGGTTGCTCCAGCTAAAGTTTTTAAGGGGTCCGGTAAGTGAAAATAGCTCCTTAAATGGAAAGTCACTCAAAAACTAAATTCTGTCATGATTTACTCACCTTCATGTTGTTCCAAACCTGAATGACTTTATGTTTTACGTGGAATTCAAATTAATGAGAAGACAGAATGACAGCACAAGTAATGAATATTTTCTTTCACTGTATGGAAAATTTGCAATGGAAGACTGAGAATGTCATTCTTCCTAATATGTTATTTTATGTTCCACAGAAGAACGAAAGTCAAACGGTTTTGAAACGATAAGAAGATAAGTAAATGAAGGAAGCAGTTTTGGTGAACTACCTTCAAGACACTCCATAGTTTCACTTTTTACAGTTTTTGTCAACCACCGAATATGTGTTATGTGTTATACTGTACGTGATGAATGTAAACTAAGTAGGCAACGCCATTCATTCCCGCTTTTTATTTTTGAATGCAGATACTCATCTGTTCGAATTTCTAAATGTAAACATACAAACACGTAGTTAAAGACAGATCCGAATTCACCACGAACAAAAAGGCAATATCAGGTAGAGTGTAAACATAGAGCGCACATACCGCAGACGGACCAGATGTTGACATGTATCCCATTATTAAGCAATACATTAATTCTTCGCTACACTGACTGAGGTGGGGAAATCCAACTTTCAAAACATACGTGCGTGTGTGTGTATGCATCACTTCCTGATGTCTAACAAAGAGGAAGGTGTTCATCTCTCTCCTGAGCGCAGCTCAACGAGTTCTTAAACGGAAGTATGTTCTTGTAGTCAAATCAGATATATATATATATATATATATATACTTATGATAAATGACGGAGGTTGAGAAAAGTCATGCTTTTCGGTTATTATTTCACACGAAAATTAGGCTAGTACTCTGTAATCTGTCACCATGCAACCGTTCTGAACATCCTACAGCTGTTGTCAACTTTTTTTTTTTTTTACTCCAAGGCCCCCCACTGCCCACAATATGAAAATTACTTTTTCCAGTTGTTCTTGATTCACTGAATAAGGAAGGATAAGGATTTTTTTTTTTACAAATATGTTTACCCAAAATATCTGATTTAATTCATTCTAAAATGTCTATGGAATTATAAGATTCTGTTCATGCATGACTTTTCTAGACCAAGGTCTAGAAATCACACATTTAAACAGATTTATAAATATTAAATGTTATAAATATAAATACTCCTCATATATTCAAGGTTTTCAAGAAAGTGGGAATGCTGATTCTTTAAAGAAAAAAGATAATTAAAATAAGGTCTTGGCATCCCTTTGGGAGTTTGCTAAGGCCCTCTAGTGGGCCCCGGCCCTCTGGTTGAAAACCACTAGTCCTATCAAAAAGACAGAACAATCTAGCAACAATCCAGAACACCCCAAGAATAGTAACCACCCAGAACCTCACTAGCAACCACTCATACTATCTCAGCAACCACTTAGTAACACACAGTCTATCTAGCTATCTGTCTGTTTGTAGGCATACCTGTCTTTTGGTCTTTGTTTCTATATGACTGTATAGCCATAGGCGGAGCGTGTGTAAGGCTGGGGATCGGCTTAGCCTTCCTCTGGCCTGGGGACTTGGGGCAAAAATGCCACTAAATTGGACAAAAATACCCTTGCACAAACAAATTAAATCTATTACGTCTGTAGCTAACAAAATGAATATGAATAGACAGTGTCGATTGCGGCATTAAATTAAGATCTGCTCATGTTGCACCTTATTTTCATTTTAGGCGTTTTTACGGTGTTGCGCATTTTAATCAATCACACACAATACTGTTGAATTTAGGAATACAATGGCCAATCAGAGGAGTTCAGATGAGTCATCGTTGAAACTCATCAGTTTTGTTGAGTGCGCGCGCGTTCGCTGACTGAATACCGGACTCTTGCGAATTCTCTCACAATAAACAACAAAGCGCAGATGTAAGTACAATGTAAGTAAGAGATTCATTTCATATTGTATACAGCTTCAGTGATTATAAAGATTTTTTAGAGTGCTTAAACTCGCGATAGATCAATGTTAGTGATAATGTCACTTTCTATATATAATTTATTCGCTGTTTGAATAACCGTGGATAGGAAACGTTAGGCTATATAGGCTAGGCTACTTATCAATTTCTAACGTTTTTATTAAATTGCAATCACGTTAAATACAAATTCAGTCCCATTAAAAAAATTTTTGCCTACATGACACCCATGTCTTGTTATTGTCTAAAAAGACGGGTTTATGATGTTTAATACATTTGACTGCTTTTAGCCTTACCCTCCGCCTATGTGTAGCCCTGTATATCTGTAAACGTTTAAAAACTAAAGTTCAGAAACGGAGCCTCCTTTGTCCGTCGTTCTTCAGACAATACACTATTTTTAAACTTCCAAACAAGGCGTTATTAGACGAACATCAAAGTTTTATATTGACGAACTTTACTCGTGTGGTTTACTTTCTTACACACACCGTGCCATTGGCAGGTAATGTGTGTGTGATGTAACGTCATCGCCTGTATGCCACTCCTCAAGACTCTCCCTGCAGCTTCAGGGCTGTTTGTGTGTAACTGGAGACTCAGAAGCACTGCGGTGTCAACAGGGTCAGGGTGACTTTGTATTTGGCTTTTCCCACTCTCATAGTGCGCGATTTTGGGGGGACGGCGCTTAGGAAAGACTGTGCTCCGTCCAAAAGTCAGTCCAAAATGCAGCGCGTTTGTGGAATATGGGAAAATCACAGGTAAAGCTGTGTGTGTAATTTCGGTCACGGATTGGGTGGCGGATCCAGGTGAGTCTCCGTCAAGTGATACACATCAATATTAGGGGGAGAGCGGGGCACAAAGTAACACTTTTTGACTTTCTCAAATTGTGTATATCTAATGTTGATATAGTAACTAGTAAATGCTGTAAATTTGGTTATGCTAGCATGTGTGGAAATATTTAAACCACGTGTGTTACAATTTACCCCGCGTTACTTTGTGCCCCGCGCTCCCCCTATGTTTTATTATGCGATGGATATTTATTATATAGGCCTACTGTATAGGCCTAACTATACGCATATCGTAATTTGCAAAATTGTTGTTGTTGTTGTTGTGGACCATACCGCAATTAGAACTAATATATTATGTACAAGGATTATTAAATTGCGGTAAACAGCTGTATCTTTGATTTGCACTATTTTTGTAATTCGTTAATATTGCATCTTATCAGTGGCGTAACTTTGCTTTGAAAAGTGGTGGGGACATGTACCACCCGTCCCACCCGCAAATTACGCCTATGCATCTGATGGTCTATGCAAGTACGCATATGTAAATACACTCATAATCAATATTATTATATGTAGTTTATTATTATTACTACTTTATAAAGACTGTTTAAAGAAGCTTAGATGTTGAAGTAGATCGACAGAGGTATAGATCCGTCTTCATGACATAACCTCTTCTATCTGTAAAGCAATAGCCTACATCTTTTTTTTTCTTCAGCTGGGTTGATCTGGGATCATGGGTTGACTGTCTGACCTGCCTGGTCTTGGCTTACTGAAGCAATATGTGTTTGTTTGTTTATGGCTATCACATTGTTATCAGTGAGAATGCTGGGCAGAATTGGCCCCTGGAGAAATGACATGAGGAGACAGGAGTTTATGACTTAGTAATTATAGTCTAGTTTGCTGTTCCTTAGTAATGTTTTGAGTATCAGATGAACCGAATTGTAGAGAAGACTTGCTTTTGTAATTGATTGACTAGACTATGTTTACACATTTTTTATTGTATCCCATTTTGTATTGTATCCTAGTACCCCCTTATAGTACCCATCTTATAAATTTGTGATTACTACCAAGTAATGGATTCAACTTTTTATCAACCTTTTCCTCCAGTTAGCACAGGTTTTGTATTTATTTTTAGAACTGATTGATCATAGGCCTCATTGATCTGAGCTCATACACCTCAGTTTTTGAGTAAACATCCACAAATAATGCTTATTTTCCACTTAAAAACGGAGGTGCATAAGCTCAGATCAATGAGGCCTACAACCAGTCAGTTCCAAAAAGAAATAACCTGTGCGAACTGAAAGAAAACAAGTTGACAAAAAGGTTGAATTCAAGATTTGGTCATAATATAGCATAATAAGAGATTTACAAGCAGTTTGTAAAAGACCATTCCTGGTCAATTTTGATTTTCACACTGATCACCTTATATTATTTGATAAGAATGTGTAGGAATGTATATTATGTAAAATACGTACATATTATTTTTTGGTAGTGGTGTTGTCAAACTTGCTGCTGCTAAGATGAAAATAAATATTTAAATTGTCTGGCACCGAAATAGAAAGTTAATGTCAAATGTTTTGAGGTCATTTAAACCTGGACTTTAATTCACTTCCTTCTTATAATGTGGGGAAATAAAGGACTGTAATGACCACAGACAATAGCTTGTTCCATTTGGGTAAATCTTGTTCTTGGCTACCTACGTATTTGCAAATAAAGCTGATGGCATGCTCATGGAAACCGAAACATAAAATAAATATAAAATGAAGAATATAGATGCAATTCAAAGACTGTAGCAGAGTGTTTCTACAATGATCCAAAAACATAAAGCACATTGATTGCCCTTTCAAACTGTCTCTCATTGGAACTCATCCATTTCCAAGGCAGTAACTTTCCATTAAATCACCTCTCTGCACCTGTGTTTGCAGTGTTCGACTCTTTTGTTGATGCCTTGTGTTTATAACCTTGTATATCACTGTGCTGTCAGAAATAATCATTGATCAGTTCTGAGACATAAAAAATTCTGTACCAATACATCACTGTGTAGTTATCACTGATCATGATAAGAAAAGATTCATGAAATCAGATAAAATCATCTTGGCACAGAGTTAACTCAATGCTAAATTGCATACAATTTTGTACACATGATGACCTTTTAGCTGTTGTGATGAGTGAAGGTGTTGTTTACACATGCTAAGTGGTTGTTTTGCAGATCTAGATGGATGTTTCAAGTAGAAACAAGCTCTACAGGTGGTGTGGACACTTCATTGACTTTGTGGACATTTGTTTCTCATGCAGGAAAAATGTGGAGAGATGCAGAGCAGGCACTGACTCTGATATGGCTTCTCTCTTGGACCTCACACAGCATGTGTAAGTGAGGGAAACACAGTTTCAAAGAATAAATTCAGACAGTTGTTGTGTTTATCGATTTTTGTTGTTGTTGTAAACTATTGGGTTTTGGTGAGCGATTTTCTATAATTTAATCATTTGGAGGCCTGTTGTTTATATACAATCCATCAGCAAACAGGATACAGATTTTTAAATTCTATACTGAATTTAAAGGAAGTATAATTCAAAGAATTCTAGTTTTTAATCATACATTTTAGTTTTCAGTATATGAAACACCCATAAACACTTTACAACACACTAAATAATAATATGGGCTATTTGCAGCATTCAATAATATTCTGTTAGTCTTTGAATACCACTTTTAGTTTAGTCCTAATATTCTTACAGATATGTTTTCATATACTCTTGAATTACACTATCTTTCCAGGTCTTTCTCCTCCGGGGAGGCCCACACTAACAAGATGTCGGTCGCCTGAGAAAGAGACTTTCACTTGCTGGTGGGAGCCTGGATCAACAGGTGGACTGCCCACCAGCTACCACCTGTATTTCAGAAAAGAGAGGTGAGTGCAGCCTACATCACTATTCAGCATTGTTCAGCTTGCTGTGAAAAAAGTATATTTCCATTATTTTTTCCCTGTATCAGAATATGGGTAGTTGCCTCATTAGCCGGGTTTCCATCCAAAGTTGCGAATTTAACTTATGCGCAAAATTGGAATATCGCACAAAACATTTGCGAACAAGCACCGTTTCCATCCAACGAGTCAAAGAGAACAAAATCATCACTTCCTGATAAACTGGCACTATACATCACTAAGAAAAGTAGGAGAAGCTACTGAATATAATAATTTTCCTATATAATAAATTACTTGCACCTCAGAACGAGCAGACGAAACACAATGAATGCGGTTATTGCTTTCGGAGGTGGATGCTGCTGTTTGGGAACGCAGTCGTTTAACAGTTCTGGGAGGCAATTATACAGAAATACTTTGATGACAGACTTTGCTTGGGCATTTCCGAATGTCGGTCCGCTGGTTAGTCAGAATTTGAAGTCCCATAGCGCAAAGTCACATGACTTTTTTGATGCGCTTGGAGGAATTTATTTGCGCAAAATGCATTTCCATCTCCCATTATTTGCATTAACCCTTTTTCGCACAAGTCAAAAACCACCTCAAGCGAGCGTAAAAACTTTTTTGCGAATTAAGGCATTTTTATTCGAAATTCAGTGTTTCGATTCTGATGCGATACTTCAAAATGCGCATAAAAGCAGGATGATGGAAACCCAGCTACTGTGTGCCTGTTATGACATAGTTTAACATATTTGTCTCAATAAAATATTCCATAATTTTGTTTGTATCAGTAAAATGAACTGTTTTATCGTTTTGGTTCAGTTATTGAAAGAAGTCTCTTTTGCTCACCAAGCAAAAGTAAAAACTGTAATATTGTGTAATATATTACAGTTTACTTTTTTCTTGTTTAATATGTTTTAGACATTTTACTTTTTTATTTGATTTATTCCTGTGATGGCAAAGCTGTATTTTCAGCATCATTACTCCAGTCTTCAGTGTCACATGATCCTTCAGAAATCATTCTAATATGCTGATTTATTGCTCAAGAAACATTACTTATCAATATTGATTATTGATTTATTTTCAATGTTGAAAACAGCTGTGCTTTGTAATAGTTTTTTGTGGAAACTGCAATACATTTTTTTCCAGATTTTTTTGATGAATGGAAACATCAAAATAACATTTGTTTGAAGCAGCAATTTTTTGTATCATTACAAATGTATTTACTGTCACTTTGATGGGTTTAAAGCATATTTGCTGAATAAAAGTATTCATTTCTTTCACAATTAAACTTTGGTATGATAGTTCTGATCTTCATTTTGTCTTATTTTCTAAATACTTGTTTAATTTGTACACCACACACACACTTATTAATAAACACACTAAACCTAGTATAGTAAATGAGTTAATGTTTACACATTTGATAAGAAATCACAGGTTTTGGTTCATTTGTTGTCAAAAGATTAGTCAACAAATCATTAATTTTAAACTATCAAAAACTTTTTCAGGTCTTTGGAAGTCTTTGAATGTCCGGATTATCATAAAGCGGGAAACAATTCCTGTTATTTTGATAAGCAACACACGTCTATTTGGATCATATACAACATCACAGTGGTGGCCTCCAATGCACTGGGAAAAGCCTATTCGGAATCTATAGAAGTTGATGTTATGGATATCGGTGAGTTCATGTAATGTGTTTACAAAATATTGAAATGCATCCAGAAATGCTTTTGTTTTTATGTGCTTGCAATATACCCCTAGTGTATACTGACCATGCATGAATGGTTAATGATGTTTTACTACAGAGGCCAATTTCAGCGTTGTTTTGACAACAGCCACACACTAAATATAGCATATATAAAGATTTCCTGTGGCTACATAAGGGCACACACAGCAAAATCAGCAAAATCTTTACGGTGAAACATTTATTCTTTGAACTCTTTAACTTTCGGTTAGATCATCGTACTAGAACACAAGACAGATAACACTGCATGTGCAGTTACATAGTTTAGTTACAATTTCCCTTAAACCAGTTCAGCTAGAAATGTGCGCGCACTGGGCTCTTCCATCTGTAACGGTGAGTTAAACAATGATGACTTTTAGAGCATCTGAGTGGAATGGAAAAGTACTAAATGGCACTAAACAGATGCAGCTCTGGCTGACTAACTGAACAGAATGAGGATGAACGGGTTTGTGTCTTGCATACTGCAAAACTCGAGCCATGTATCGAATATCCCACTGCAGATGCTTGAATGCGCTGGCATATGGCACATGGTTGATGCTCTGTTTTTTTTTTATGCATTATGAGCATAAATACACTACTGTTCAAAGGCTGGGATCATTATGATTAAAAAAAAAATTTTTTTTAAAGACATCTCATGTTCATCGAGGATGCATTAATTTGATCAAAAATACAATAAAAGAGTAATATTGTGAAATAGTATTACAATTTAAAAGAACAGTTTTCTATTTGAATATATTTTATTTCTAATATGCTGATTTGGTGCTCAAGACACATTTCTTATCATTAATGTTGAAAACATACTGTGCTGTTTAATATTTTTGTGGAAACAGTAATAAATTTTTTCATGGTTCTTTGATTAACTAAGTTCAAAATTTATTTAGCGTTTAAAAGAGCATTTTTTAAAAATTGAAATATTTTGTAACATTATGTCTTTACTGTCACTTTCGATCAATTTAATGTATTCTTACTGAATAAAAAGTATTCCCCCCCTCCCAAAAAAAAAAGAAAGAAATACAAATTCATACTAACCCTGAGCTTTTGAATGGTAGAGTATAAGAAGCATATGAATACTTGTCAAGTATCGATGTAGACCGCATTCAGTTTATTTCCTTTTTTAGTACATATATTGTTGTCACTGATTCTACTATTCTAATGTCTGTGCAGTTGATTGCCATTTAAGATGATTGATCTTGTTCCACACAGTGCAGTCTCACCCTCCAGAGAATGTGAATGTGACTTTCATTCAGACCACGAACAGCCCCTATTTCCTGGTGCAGTGGCAGCCTCCGCATGACGCAGACACGCGTTCAGGCTGGGTAACAATCAAATATGAAGTTCGCTTAAAAATTGAGAACAGCGGAGACAAGGAGGACAGCAGTTGGGAGGTGAGATTCAAATCGTTTCAAGTTCATCAAGGTTCTTAAATGTTCTTATGCTTTGTAATTTTTCTTTTTAAAATCAAAACTATTTAAGGCCAGGGCTTTCAACTGGGACAGATATAATATTTAAACCATAAAGGTTTATGTATTTTTCTAATTAAAAAAAACATTCCATATACTGTATTTATATAAATTTGCTTCTAAATGTTTTAAATATAGACGTAAATACATGTAAATATTTTCAAAATATATACTGTATGAGTGTGTATTTATATATATACATAATAAATATACAGTTCACACACATATTATGTAAACAAAAACTTTTATTTTGGATGCGATTAATCGCGATTAATCGTTTGACAGCACTAGTTTTAATTAATTATTATCAACTTATTATCAAAAAGAACATATTTTTGTATTAGGAGTCTAATGTTTGCATTTAAAAGTTTTGATACCATGTAATATAATTATGACTGAGACATAGTTTTGGTTCTTGTGTTTTTAGTCATATAGTGCTGGAAAACAATTGGAGTTCAGCATCTACAGTCCGCATCCTGGAGCAAGTTACGTTGTGCAAGTGCGCTGTAAACTAGACCACGGCCTCTGGAGTGAATGGAGCCCCTCTGCATTCATCCAGATTCCAGACGGTAAGATGATACCAGCTCCAGCAATCCAATCTTTCACACCTCCAGCCATTGTGCTGCATTACTCAGCATTTTTAGCCTTGCATAACAGTGTCCAGGCTATATTAAAAATTAAATATAAGTAAATGTTTAATTCTGCCTTTAGATCTATTTGAACTCATTATATAGTACAGCATTAAAAAATGATGAAAACTGAAAGCGAAAATGTAAACAAGGCTTTGTGTTTTTCACATTGCAGATATGTCTGATACACAGAATGCGGTTATGATTATTGCCGTCACGCTAACCGTCATCATTTTCCTGTTGACTGCAGGAGTGCTGACAGTCAAGATGAAACCGTAAGCATGATATCCCACCCACCTAATCACAATGACAAAGGGATTTACACTGATAACTGTACATAAAAAGATAGGTTTTCCCAGATTTTCCTACAGAATACAGTATTCTCTACACTAATGTGCGACACAAATTGAACATTAAAGGGGTCATATGATGCGATTTCAGGTTTTCCTTTCTCTTTGGAGTGTTACAAGCTGTTCGTGAATAGATAAGATCCCTAAAGTTGCAAAGACTGAAGTCTCAAACCCATAGAGATATTATTTATAAAAGTTGAGACTAGTCCACGCCCTCCTAAAACGGCTCGTTTAAATACGCCCTCACATGTCTACGTCACTGTGTGGGAAGATTTGCATAACGCCGCCCAAATGTTCACGGAAAGAATGAAGGCTTAACACATTTCATTACACCAAATACACAAAATAATTTTCTTTTTAGCAACATCATATGACCCCTTTAATATAACATTGTATCCACTTTATTTTTCAATACAATTTTCCTTCTGATTTATTAGCTGCTATATGTCAGTAACTATAAGAATAACAAAGTGCAAAACTTTACCGAAGGATAAAACAACTTGCACTACAACCAGTATGTTTATAATTATGATAATAAAATAAAATAATATGATGGCAAGTTAATTCTGTATTTCCTTATTCTTCTCTAGGGTGAAGCATTTTTTACTGCCACCAGTTCCAGAACCGAAAATCAGTGGCTTAGACATTCAGCTCCTTAAGGTACAGCAGACACTACCATAATTCATGCGTTATATCATATCATATTTTATTAATTCATTTTTTCTAAGGTGCAGTTTTGTTTTGTAGTGCAGATTAGTTTTACTTTTGAGCTTTTTTAAAATTTATTTTTACAGGATAAACCTGTATGACTTTGTATTTTCTGTGAAACATAGAAGATATTTTGAAGAATGTTGGTAACCAAACAGTTTTGGTTCCTATTTACTTTCATTGTATGGTCAAAAATATAATAAAGTTAGTGAACCGGGACCGATTGTTTGGTTATCAACATTCTTCAAAATATCGTTTTTGTGTTCCACAGGAGTAAATGATGACAGAATTTTCATTTTTGGGTGAACTATCCCTTTAAATGAGCCATTATTTTGTTGTTTTGCTCTTAAGACTTCAATGTAAAGTTTAAACAGCTGTGGGTTTGCTGTTAAATCCAATATCATTTTTGAACTTTCCAATTCGTCAATAACAGCTTCTTCACAAAATGTGCATTACATTGTGACACTTTCTCAGAACAATCTGTGTTGAAATCTTAATAGGAGGGGATTTTCAAAAAACTTTCCAACAGACAATGAACTGACCCCACAAAACTGCAGTTCCAATATACAAAAGTCATTTTACTTCTCATTTCACAGAGTGGGAAGTCTGAGGAGATCTTCAGTGCTCTGATTACTCCAGGATATCCTCAAATAGCCCAGAGTTCAGACCGTCAAGTGGAGTATCTTGTGGTCTCCGACTATGATGGGGAAATGGATTTTGATGGCAAAGCTCATCTTGAGTACCACAAGGGAGAAAATCGTCCCACAGATAATGCACAAAAGGTCTCTCAAAACAGCATCAAGATCTCATTGAACAGCAGCCAGGATCTAAAAACAACACTGAGCGAAAATGTCCACTCTGGGACCGTTTCCAATCAGCTAAGTGTCCTTGGAGAGCCTCAACAACTACTTCACCTTAATTGCAAAGGCTCACCAGTAAAAGCTCAGGACCAAAACACTCAAATGAGCTCCGGTAGTAATTGTGAGCACGTCAGCATCAACCCTGCTGGACTTGCGGAGTACGTTGAGGTTGACGAAGACCAGAAACCTCTGGTCAGGGAGGACTACAGTATGGTCAGTGACGTTATCAGTGATAACATCCTTGTACTACAAGACAGCATCCCTGTACAGGGACACAAAGAGGTCAAATGTGACAAAACATCTGAAGCTGAGGAAACGGGAGGTGTTTTTGAACCTCTGGGATACTTGGAAACCCTGACAACATTTTCAAGTGAATCTTGACTGTTTTGTGACTTTAACTTCAGAGGTTTGGGATTATTTTGTCTGGTTGTGTTCTGCTCAAACTGTCAAGCACTTTGTAGCGTTTCCTGTACAGTGACATAACTTGCTGCTGAACTACCAGTGCTATTCATAACTGATTCCCGAAACTGCTGACTGATCGTTTGAACCACACTGGTTCGACAATCTAGAACTGTCGTTACTGAGGTCACGCTGGTGGAGTAATTAGCCTACTTCTGCTAATGAATCATTTCGGATCAAATTAATGTCAGATTATCGATAACAAACATGGCATCTGAGGACTATAATATCTTTTTTGAAGAGTGTGAATGAACCGCGAATGAAGCAATACAATGGCGAACATTGTGCTTCATTCGCGGTTCGTTCACACTCTTCAAAAACTGCGTTTTCATTCTCTTGACAAACTAAAAGACAGAATTAAATTTGTATATATAGTCTATGTTAGCTTGCGTATTTTACTCAAGCGCATGATCTGTTGATCCACATGTCATTCTAACAAGAAACTATGGTTGTAACTACAGGGTGAGAGCTGTAGTTCCATCCACACGACTTTGCGATGCCATTTTTGTTCGTTGGAACTATGGTTTCTGGAAACTGCCAATTTGCAACCATATTTGGCTAGCAATGCTTTTGGGAAACGCACCCCTGCTATGTTGTATCTGTCAGTATGCACAACTACTGATACAGTTCGCACAGTTTCTGTGGATAATTCAGGCTAAACAGCAAGAAGCTGCAGTAATGGGTTGAAAATTAGATTAAAAGGCAGCGTCATTCAAACCATTACACATTGACCAACCGCTGTTCAAAAATACCCCACTAAAGAGCATTATATTAATTGTTAAACCTTTCAAATGTTTCTTCAACGCACTTTTCTCAATGCTTGCTGCTCCTGATCTTTGAAAGTTGATTGTTGCTAAAAATGGGCATAGTTTAATGGAAACGGATTAAAATACAGAAGAGCTCCTTTTGTATATTTATTCACAATGATACTATGACTATAAAAAGTGTGAGATTTCTTTGGTCAGAACAGCTAAAGACTTTACTGTGTATTTATTGAACTAGATCTAGTATTTGTATGTCGCTCCCGATCCATTTTATTGAATCTTTATTTATAACATTGATTTAGTGTTAAAATAGTCATGGATATTCACTCGTTTTAGGGTAAACAGACAGCATCATCGGACACATCCTTCTGATTTATAATGATCTGAACTTGGGCACTCTTCAAGACAATAACCAGAATTAAGACGAATGCCAAATAATAGATTAGATCTGCACAAAAGGGTTGTCAAAGCTTAACCAAACACAAGGGCAGTGAGCCCAAAACAGTCTGGCAGGCCTTTGATGTAGAGCGCCTCAGAGAAGCTAGTTACAGCGGCAGACACAGACGGGTCAGCTGGTCTCATCATGGAACATTTATGGTCTGCAGTGCAGCAGTAAAGAGTTACTTCAAGTCAAACATTGACTTAACACTATACAAGGACAAACATTTGGTTCAGCATGAAAGAACTATTGTGCAGCTTTTCTGTGTAGTTTAAATTAGAATGGAAGCCTTTTGTTTTTATATCATCCATTGTGGTAACAATATGTATTTTGTTTGTGATGTAACAATGCGATGCTTAACACTGCAAGAAATGTAATATGAAGTTATGTAAAAACTGTTAGCACAGTGGTGCATTGGTGTTTCTAGCTTGAGTTCTTTACATTCTTTCACAGTTTTCTATCCACTGCTGGACAATGTCCAGAGAAAATCAAAGGTTAGAAATGATTTTATTTTTGACCATAACATTTCAATAAACACCAGTTTTGCAAAATTTTTTTATCAATTGTCTTGAGCTAAAATAAAAAGTTATATTACAAAGACGTTGAACATAGATGGATAAAAGCAGCATTTTTAGAGAACTGGTTCAGCCAAGTGGTGGTTTTATTCCAGATCAGTTAACATTCTTTTCACATTCTCAAATAGCCTATAAGAAAAAAAACATACATTTTTCACATTTTTGGGGTGAGGTTAGATGTGATGGTATGTTTTTCCTGATAATTACATTTAAAGGGACAGTTCACCTAAATTCTGTCATAATTTACTTACCCTCATGCCATTTCAAAACACAAATAAAAATATAATTTAATGTCATTTCTGTCCATTGAAGTCTATTTCACCAAAACTTTGATGGTTCAAAAAGTTCATAGACATAAAAGTAATCCATGTGAATCAAGCGGTTTACTGTATTTGTGTGCTGATCAATGTTAATACGTGAATAAAAGCCTAAAGTGAATCTGTTCAGGATGTAAAGTGATAATGTCTCTTTAGGAGACTTGGATTAAACCACTCATAGGATTTCTTCTACAATCTCTTCATGAACTTTTTGAATTGTTACATGCTTGGGTGAAAGGACTTTTTACAGAGGAACAAAATTCTCAGGTTTTGAAGCTGAACAAAAGTCTCATGGGCTTGGAACGACATGATAGTGGAAACCTGAGGGCAGAAGTTTAATTTTTAAGTGAATTATCCCTTTAAAGGAGTAGTTCACCCAAAAAAATCTAATGAAACCGGTCATTTACTCACCCTCAAGTTGTTTCAAACCTGTGTGAGTTTCTTTCTTCTGTTGAACATAAATGCTGGTAACCAAACAGTTGCTGGTCCCCATTGACTTCCATAGTATGGAAAAAAATATAATGGAAGTCAACAAGGACCACAAACTATTTGGTTCATTACTGATTTCTATTCATTTATACTGGTCTTTCAAGGATAAGATCATTTATTGCAAACACTAGAGAAAATTCCAAAACCTTCACAATCACAAAGTTGTTTTTGGTCCCAAAGTCAACATTCTGAAAATACATAGAAGCAGGTAAAAAGGTTTATATGTGAAAATGATTTGTTACTGCTAAGTGAAGTTTTGAATTGTTAGCTCTATGCTACATATATATATGCCATAGACCACTGAGTACTACACAAGTGCATAACACACACACATTCCCTATTAACTGCAGTCAACAGCATGAAGGCATAGAGCTAAACTAACACTGAGAATTTTAAGGAGAAGCACCTCGAGCACTCAGTATTAATGGTTTAGCTAGTGTTGAGGAACAGCCAGAGGAGAATTATAAATTAAAAGTGAGGTCTAGGATTTAGGTAAGCGATGTATTCCCACAAACAGCTCATGGTCATAACAATCATTCACTTTATGAGCCTTCAGAATGAACTAGACCCTGCCGATAATGACGACACGTGGGCTGCAAACACAGTGGTCATGATCAGTAAAATTGTGCATCCAACTGGAGAAGAAAAATACATTTGATTTACAAATGTAAACATGTACATAAATTAAATGGTTCAGATTGTTTCAGTCATTTTATCAAACTATTACACTTATTTGAATAGAAATAAAGGGATAATGGCTATTTGCAAAAATATTCACTATTCGGACTGTGGAAACATCAAACTAAGTATGTGATATCTATAAGAAAATATTTTTAGTCAAGGGCTGTTCTCTATTTTCAGCTGTATTGCCTCTCGATTCCAGGTTACAGGAATATATACGTTTACATTATTTCATAAAATCCTCTAGACAGGCACATTTGGTACTTCAAGCTATTCCTGACATTTTTCACAGGGTGCTAAAGGCTCACGCGGGGTTGGAAACTCTGTAGTGATCTGTTTCCGTGTCACAGAAGCGTGACCTCAGCTCTGCAAAACAAACAAAAACAGGCATTTTGTCTCATTCGTCGATGCACTTCCATCAACTTCCTCCTTCATGGTCATCTAGCAGCTGCTCTGAACTAATAGAAATGGATGAAAACTGGTCCTCAAAATTTAGGAAAGGGTGGTTGTAATCTTTCTCGAGCATTTTCTTCCAGATTTTCACTGAGAAAACAGAAACGGATTAAATGAGTGAAGAGTGAGTGGATAATTCTTATAAATTAAAATACGTTTTCACGTCACATATGCAACAAATGATAACCACTTTAATGATGCTTTCAGAAACTCCTTTCAGGCTGATTATTCAATCAATAATAGGCTATTTTGTGATTGCCATTTATTTACTCTTATTTTACAATAAAAGAACAATAAAAACTGTAATAGTGTGAAATATTGTACTATTTTTTTCTATTTGGATATATTTTAAAATTGTATTTATTCCTGTGATGACAGTTGAATTTTCAGCAGTCATTTCTCCAGGCTTCAGTGTCTCATGATGCTTCAGAAATCATTCTAATATGATGATTTGATGCTCAACAAACATTTCTTGCTACCAATGTAGAAAACAGCTGTGCTGCTTAATATTTTTTTGGAAACCATCATACATTTTTTCAGGATTCACTAATGAACAAAAAGTTTAAAAGAACTAGAAATGTTTTATAACAATAGGAAAGTCTTTACCATCACTTTTAATCTGATTTTTACTTTGTTTTATATATATATATTTCATGTTAAACCTATCAACCAACCACCACATAGAGATATAATTACACAAACAAACTCTTGAGTCTATACATACATGGCCAACCTACCTATAAACAAAGCAGGCTCATTCCGTGTCAACTCAACCCGCTACAAAATATTGGATTACGGAGTAAATATACATCCATGAGATTTAATATTTTGGCTTTCATCACTATATATGCTTATCTTTCTTCAGAAAAAAATATTGACTAAAATAAAAATTTGAGCCGGGGAAGTTTCTGAAATTTGGTTGATTTGACACGGAATGACCCAGCAGCTAAGTTACACATTTACATATTTAACAGTTAATGGAGTAGTTTAACAGAATAGTTAACTAAAAGGATAATGAAATTGCAGTACTGCATGCAAAAGCAATAAATTCATGCTATTTTTAAGTCTTTATTTAGGACGTACTGTACTCTGGCTCTTCAGTTCCAGAAGGTTCTCCTGACGGCTCCACCTCCTGTTGCTCCTCCTGTTCTTCCTGCGATTCAGCCTCCAGATTTGCAATCATCACCTCATAGGCCTTCCTGGCCTCAGCCGATAACTCAATCATTTTGTGATAGTGGTCCTGTGGCCATCAAATACACAGAAATCAGCAAAGTACACCAATTTAATACAATCGGTATCAATATCATGACATATATTTACAGTAATGCCACTCAAGACTCTTCACAAACATCTGAAAGGATGAAGTTTAACTCAATAACGGAAAGATATTTACCACAACTATAACCAGAAACTTCTGGTACTTACCTGTGCGCCATCATAGTTAAAGATGCCCACCAAGCTAACAGGCACAGCTTTATTAACACAGCGGCCCAGCGCCTTCCTTGACAAGGCAAACACAAACGGGACGCCTTGATCCCGGCATGTGTCGATGATAGTGTGAAGAGCCTCGTCTAGACCGCCTACATTAACAAAACAGGCCCTCCATCAGCAACAATGAATCAAAATGTGAGTTTGGTGCTGTAAATTGACTTTACCTTTGGACTGAATACGTTCACAGTTGGGCGAGATGATAACACACTTGACCTTCCTGAGTTTGAGGTGTTTCAGCACCTCTCGTAGGCCCATGACCAGCCTGCGCTTCATCCTGGCCTTCATGGGGTCTTTCTGATAAAGACGATCCTGAAACCTCACCAGCTCCTTCAGTAAGCTGCTCACACATTCATCTACATCTTTTCTAAGCACTTGGTTGCAGTAGCTGTTGAATTAGCAAAAATAAATGTTATCAATTAATTAATGACAATAATAATAATAATAAAAACATTTTACAATAAGGTTCCATTTGTTAACATTAGTTAACTACATGAATTAACAAACTAAAAATTAAAAACACTTCTAAAGCATTTATTAATGTCAGTTAATATTAATTTTAACATTTACTAATGCATTATTAAAAACCACAGTTATATCTTTTGATATTAATGAATGGTCATGAACTAACAATGAACAGTTGTAGTTTTATTAATTAACATTAACAAAGATTAATAAACACTGTAACAAATGTATTGCTCATTGTTAAATGTTAGTTAATGCATTAATTAACATCAACTAATGAACCTTATTGTAAAGTGTTAGAATAATCATAATAATTATAATTATTATTATTGTTGTTGTTCTTTTGTTGTTGCGGTTGTTAAAAATTATCATTATTGTTATTATTATTATTTCTCAAATTTATTTATCATCACCAGAAAATAAGGCATTCGTTTAATCACGTCTTCAAGCCTTTTTGGGAACAATTTGCATGTTTGAGAAACAAAACAAAACAAAAAACAACAGAAAAAAAATAAAAAAAAATAAATACAAAACAAAAACAAAACAAAACAAAACACAAAATTGATGTTCTTACTCTCTGAACTTCCTGCTGTGGATTTTAGGAAGGTTGGGAATGGAATTAGGATTCCAGGATTTTAGTGTTGCATTTTCTGACATGCTGTCATCCAACTTGTGATGAGATGGTGAACCAGGCTGGCCATTCTCTGACTCCTCAGTACCAACGAGTTCAGGGTTGTCATCTATATCTGATACAAATTATGACAATTTCATTCTGCATATTAGAAAAACCATGATGCTACCAAGCTAGACAACACTAAAACATTTCATATTCTGATCAACCTCAGTAATTGTCTACAATGATCACATGTGAATATATTACAGTGCTGTGTTTCGTACCTGTGTGAAGATGTTGGTCATGGTCAGCATGGCTTGTTTCAGAAGGATTCTCACTATTACTAGTTTCCTTTTCTCCAGCCTCGGTGGCCACTCGGGCCGGGTCTCTCTCCTCCAGCAGGCGGTTCTGTTTCCTTTCCTCTCTCTCCCGAAGAATGACCTCAAGGGTTCAAATAGCAAAATATCTTTAGGAATGCTGATCAAAAACAGACTCAAAATTCACAAGAAAAAAAGGTTTAAAAAGGTAATTGTGTCATTTCTGCACCAAACTTTAAATGACACTCCAGTCATGTTACATAACACCAGGGGCACAGAAATCACACAGTGAAACTTTAGGTGGACACTGGACTCACTCTTTTGAGTGGTGTTGGTTTTTTCGCCTTGGGAACTTCTCGCTGTTTGCCCTTCTTCACTAGTGGACAGGTGGAGTCCAGCGGGTTGTGCGGTGTCTTCTCTTGCTGCCATGGCTTTTTCTGAACTGTAGGTTCTTTGTGGACTACATGTAGAGCTCCTCCAACTAACACACCAGTAATATTAATTTGTAATATTGTCCTACGAAGAGTATCCACTAATATTTTTCAGCCAAATACCTGAAAGTGTTAGTGGTCGCTGGTCTTGTTTGGATTTTTGAGACTGTTGCTTCTCCTCAAGAACGGCCAGCATGTTTCCAAGGTCAAGCTTTACAGGAACTTTTGACTTCTTCTGACTAGTCTGCTGAGATAAGATGGGATATGAAACAATTACAATGTGTGACCGTCTCATTTCTGATGCTGCGTTCACACCAAACGCGAATAGAGCGTCTGGCGCGAATGATTTCAATGTTAAGTCAATGTAAACTTGGTACTTTTCTGGACCTTGAACGTGGTAGTTACCTTGCTGTCTATGGGAGGGTCAGACAGCCCTAATATTTCATCAAAAATATCTTAAATTGTGTTCCGAAGATGAACGAAGGTCTTACAGGTTTCGAAAAACACGAGGGTGAGTAATTAATGACAGAATTTTCATTTTTGGGTGAACTAACCCTTTAACACATCCTTTCAGATTAGATGGGGTTTAAACATCGCACTGGAAACACACACCAACCTGTGTTTTCTTAGGGTCACTGGACGCAGAAGTGGGTGTAGTGCCTTTGTGTAAGGACAATCCCTCTTTTTGTGCTACTGAATGTCCTTTCAGTTCCTGAATTAATATAATTACAGATGATACAATTAACAGGTGCAAACATAACGAACATATAATATGAACTGCTGGCATGAAGAGGTGCTCAGCCCAAACGAATGAACTCACAAATGCAAGTGACAGGTCTGGAAACTCTTCTTCATCCTACAAAAACAAACAAACAAAACTTAACTTAAACATGAAACTTCTAAAATCTAATTTCAGAAAATATCAAATCACACATGACATACAGATTTGACAGATTTTACCTCAAACTTTGGAGGCTCCTGCTGTATCAGATGTTCCTCTAAGGTCTCATCTGCGTTTTCAGATGCTGTTTTGGATTTCTTCTTTTTCTTCCTCTTCTTCTTTTCGGTTTTCTGTTCTACTGGCTGTGTAGTTAAATCCTCCTAGACACAGTAATAAGGTGCAAATTGTGTCTATTTTGTATAGTACATGTTGAAAATGCTGATCAACAATGCAGCAGTTTACCTGAGACAATGTGTTGGCTTTGAGGCTTTTCTGGATGACTCTGGGAGGCTGAGAAGCAATGTTTGCCCAGGACTGAGCAGAAGATCCAGTGGGATTGGATACTGCACTGTCCTGATCTAAATCAAATTGGGGTTTAAACAATTTGATACATTTAAATTCTTTTAGTATTGACTTTTAACTTAAAAATCTAATTTAAAAAGATTTACAACCCACTTCTGTAATTTGATGCATTTCCCAGTGAAACTGAATATTCAATAAGAAAAACAACATACGCTTTCCTTAAAACAACTACAAATTGTGCAAAATAACGGTGCGTTCTTAGTCATGTCATAAAGACTTTATTTATGAGCTGAACACACATGAACTGCACCACAATGTCATAATTATTAGTGGGAAACTGTCTTTAAGCCCTGAGTTTCTGAGGTGTGTGTCAGTGAAAACATATAGAGGAATTGTTGAAATAAATGAAATTATTGCCCCTCCCCCATTTACAATAAAACTAGCATGCTGCTTTCACAAAATACAAGCATATTGTACAATTACAACAGAATACAGTGCATCCACTGGGTTTTCTACATTTTGTTGTTACAGCCTCATTCCAAAATGAATGAATTAAATTCATTATTTTCCTCAGAATTCTACAAACAATACCCCATAGCTCCTCCAACTAACACACCAGTAATATTAATTTGTAATATTGTCCTACGAAGAGTATCCACTAATATTTTTCAGCCAAATACCTGAAAGTGTTAGTGGTCGCTGGTCTTGTTTGGATTTTTGAGACTGTTGCTTCTCCTCAAGAACGGCCAGCATGTTTCCAAGGTCAAGCTTTACAGGAACTTTTGACTTCTTCTGACTAGTCTGCTGAGATAAGATGGGATATGAAACAATTACAATGTGTGACCGTCTCATTTCTTAGACAAAGCATTTCGTCATTAATTTTACATTCTGATTAAAGGGTTAGTTCACCCAAAAAAATGAAAATTCTGTCATTAATTACTCACCCTCGTTTTTGCGCAAAGAAAACAAAAATAACGACTTTATTCCACATTTTCGTCTCTACTTCGTCACTTTGGACGCATGTTCACGACAGTACCATGACGTTGTTTGTTTGAAATCTTTACAAATTTATCAAAAATGACTTCTTTCATGTTGTCATTATGGGGCATTGTTTGTAGAATTTTGAGGAAAATAATGAATTTAATCCATTTTGGAATAAGGCTGTAACAACAAAATGTGGAAAAAGTCGAGCGCTGTGAATACTGTATGGATGCACTGTATATAGCTATCCAGTTTACAGCACCTTTATAAACTGAATAAAAACATAAAGCAAAACACAACTGATGTGCATTCTTTATTCATCATTTTGTAGAAGTTAAATAACTGTGCTGAACTTGGGTACATTAACATCTTGCTCTGAATAAAGCACCTGACATCATAATTACAAGTTCCCAACTCATAAATACGACGACTTGAACATACCATAAGACAAAGAAAGATGTGTATTAAGAAAATTGATTGATTTCTGAAGAATGTTTGCAGATCTTCACCTGATGTGACAGCTGATGACATGTCACACTTTCCACTGGACGGGACTTGCTGTGCCGACTTGGTTCTTTGTTTTGGTACATTCTAATAAGAATAAAAAAAAGTTTCATTGAGGCCATAAAGCCAGCACATGTTAGTAAACAGCTTGTGCTTTAACAGAACAATGTGTTCTTTGGCCCAAATCACCATGCATGAAGGTTACCTTACAGATGGGTGCTGGTGACCTCTGACGCTCTGCTGGCATGACTGCACCAGCGCATACCCATGGTTCCTGGTGCAGGGAAGCTGCTGTAGGGTTGCTGGGTGTGATATCACCTAATTCAGGGAAATCAGCAATTTTCATTTCAAATGTGCTTCTACATGTAATGGCTGATTTGGCTCTCTCTGCGGGGTTTGGGGAAGGTTTGGTCCCTCTGTAACCTGAAAGCAGAAACAAATCATCCACTTACGATTTAATCAGGAAATTATTATTAAAAGACTTCTTAAAGGGAACAGGCACCTCTGTCTGTTGATCTCCTGCTGATTCTTTTGTCCTGAGAGGAAGGCTCAGCTCTGTTGTCCTTCAGTATCTGAAAGATTGAAAAACTTTATTAGGCTTTCAAATGTGAAACATTATATAGAATCAAATCATCCAAATGGCCATAATAGAATCAGACCTTTCCAGTTTGCTTGTCTGAACCATCGTTTCGACCACGGTGGGTTTTGAGATTAGCGCTCTTGTTGTTGTGAGAGCTGCTGTTGTTGACGTGCGTCCTTGGTGCCACGTCATGCTGATTGTCTACTGAGCTCTGCCTTCTCTTGAACCAGTCCTCGGGTGACGACTGGCATGTCTTGTTTTTATATGGAGCTCTGTGTAAAGATACAATACAGATAAAAACCGATAAAAATCATTTAACTAGTCAAAACTAGTACAGATTTTGTTTGTTGTTCTTCATTACATTGTGATATAAATCAGCCCAAAAAAGCAGTTGGACAATTTAAATTGAAAAATTAAAAAAATGAAGACAAGAAGGATTGTGACAATTTCTTGCTGTCAAATGCTAGCAGAAAATATTCATAGTTCAGATTTTAAATTCTGTCGTCATTATTTACCCTCATGTTGTTCCAAATCCATAAGACTTTGGTTAATCTTAGAAACACAAGATACCTTTAATGAAACCTTAGAGGTTCCATCATTGACTTACAAGAAAAAGTTTCAAAAAGGTCACAAAGGTGCTGTAAAAAAAAGTCCAAACTTAATTAAGTGATTTAATCCAAGTGCTGTGAAGAGATATGTTTGCTTTATATGATGAACAGGTTTAATTTATTATTTTATAATTTATTTACATCTAAACAATGATTGACATACATAAAACACATCACATTTGGTGAACATGGAAGTGCAGATGAAACTTTAATATTGAGTTGAGCAGTTTAATCCATTTTGCAATCCCTTTATATTTTTTCTTCTGGACTTTCAATGGATGGACAGAAACTTCTCAGGTTTCATTAAAAAAAAAATTCTCAATGATTAACCAAAATCCCATGGGATTGGACTGCAACAACATAAAGGTGAGAAAATTATGACAATTCTTTGGGGGTGAACTATCTCTTTGATCTGATGAACTACACTTGTGATTACTTTGATAGGACACCTCTGTCTCTCTCTGTGTGTGTGTACCTGACCAATTGTTTTACATTTTCAAAAAATGGTTCAGGAAAGTATGGAGCCATACCGTGGTCACAAATTACAAATTTTTTCACACAACTTCTTAATTCATGGCCATGTTTTAGGTAAATTGTGGCCACAATGTACTAATTCATTTCCTCTTTTTAATTTTAATATATATATATTTTTTTTTAATTTTAGTTAATTTCATGGCCACAATTTACCCTAAACAAGGGAACAAAATAAATTTTGGCCACTATATCTTGTTTCTTCCACCCTCTGTGTCATGTACGGGTCTCCCTGGGAAAGTGAAGCTAGTTCTGAAGGTCTGTCACATCTGCAGAAAGCACTTGGTTTGATAGTTTATATAATGCAAAGAAATTCATACATTTGAAGTATCCCAACACTTTTTGAGGCTTTAACTGGAACACGAATCAATCAATTCTCAATGCTGGCTTGCTCTGACTGGTAAATAAAGTAAAAAATAAATAAATAAAGTGGTAAATAAAGATTCCACATTGTCAGTTATTTTTACCTTTTTAAATGATCCTCCATTTTGTCTTGCTATGGAAGGCTATGAATCAAACAACTTCAGAGGATTCATTATCTGAGAGCACAGAGACAGGTTCAAAGAACAGACTGGTAATAAGACAACATGCTTGAGCTGAAATGAAGTCGAATAATAAAACAACCAATCACTGTATGGAGTGCACAAATCTGCGTTTAAACAAACGATGCTGAATCCATGTGTAAATGACAAATAATGACGCAGCAACCAAATTAAAGACTAAACGCCGCTCAGTAACAGTCTTATGTCATAATCCACTCAACCAGTCACTTTCAGGGCCAACGGTTAAAAACACGGGTTAATATTAGTTACACACCGACGTTTATTATTTTAAGAGTTCATAAGTAAATGTATATAAGGCTTTTGCAGGACTGCTGTCGTAATGGAGATGATATTGGATCGGTTAGCAGCCAGCTACGATATCATGCAAACTTATTTGAATCAAACTTAAACATGTGAGATTAAACCTTACATGTGAAATAACATGATAGAGGGTCAGTGTGTCACATGTTTAGCTGTCGACAGCTTTCAGCAGCTTTTCTGTGTCGAGTTAAAAAACCATATGGGATTTCTAGATAGCTCGTGTAACGTTAGACAAGACATCTGGGCTAGTGTAAACACAGTCATGGTAAACTACGTAAAAAAAATTAACAAATAGTAAAATATATCATACCTTCCGGCCTATAACAAACTCCATTTGAAAAAGACCTATTCCGTTCGGTTGAGATGTAAAACGGGTAGGCCAAATAATTAAAGATTAAGCTCAAAGTTGACAGCAGGATCAGTCGGTGCGGGGGACTTTTATTTTGAAGGGTGATCTGATAGTAAGACATTACTCAGCATACGGGTTGCAATGTGAGGTAAAATGTAGTTGACAACCTGCTTAACAAAATATATAAGTGAAATTATATTTTATATTATTTAACGTTCTACGAAAATAAAAGTTTTGTTCATTTTTTATTAAAAATGTTTATGTATTTTTTTTTTTTCAGTATCTTAAATAAACCTAGGAAAAATATGTGATTTTCATGGCATGGCAAATAATGTTTTAGGAGGTGATTCTTCTTTATCTTATATTCTTTTTTTAATTACAGGAATATGGACAAAATTTAGCAAAGTTTATGCATATACTTTTTTTAAAAGTTGTACCCTCATAAATGTAAATATATGAAATGTAAACAATAATGTCATTAAGGAAGAATTGAATTAGGTACAATTTCCATGTCTGTCATTATTAAAACGATCAAAACATCTATACTGTAAAAATATATTTTAGAAGTAGTAAATAAAACAGATTATTAGAGTACGTTTTACAATATTATTTCAGTGATATGTTTTCTACAACTATATATAATAAAATACTAATAAATAAAATATAAAAATTATAAAATACTAATATAATTGCTTGTATGTTTTTATTTCTTCTTGAATTTGCATTAATAAATATCATCATCATCATAAAAAAATCATTATCATGCAAATTAATACAAAAAGAAAGATAAATAAAACATTCTAGTTGACAATAATCATCTTTATTTTTATTTTTTTAGAAATCTGATTGAAAAGATACAATCAGTATCCACAATATATATATACGGGTGTGTATATGCAGCAATATTAACCAAATATATAATGTCATTCTTATAAAACAGTAGCACCCACTGACAAGTAGCACAAACATTTGTATCTGTTGATTAAGTGTTGTAAAAATACATTCATAAAATACTGTTTTACTATGTACAGTCTGTTGTTTTTTAACAGTGAAATAAACCAATTTCATAAGCACAAGTACTTTTTAATATTTTTTCCCCCTTGTAAACACTTTACTTAGAGGAACTTTCTTCAGTGGGCTTTAATGCTTTCAGAAAGGAAAAAGAGGTCTGACCACTGATCTATATGGAAAGACTCTCTATTATAGATCAGTGGGTCTGACCCTCTTATGACACAAGAGTGAATCCTTAAACTCTCAATCTCATTCCTCCTTCTGTCTCCTCAGCCGACTCAGTAAAACCAGAGGGACTATAAAGAACGCTGAACTGATTATAAAACATAATTCTGCTCCAGCCAACCAGTACACTGGGAAAAAAGTAAAATAATGTTATGATTTGCTGTAAATTGCAACAAACAAAGGTACAGATAAATGATTTTCTTGCAATCGTAAGTTACTGTTAGTGTTGTTTACATAATTAATTGATTAATCATGTTAAGATACATACATACATATGTATAATATTTTATCTACATTTATATAACTTTGCCCCCCTCCCTTTTTTTACCTGAAGAAGCCACAATGGGCCCAGTGCTCGAGCTAAAGCTCCAAGACTCCGAAGGATTCCCATTACAGTTCCCTTCTGACTGGCTGAGCCTAACAAACCAGCATAGACATCAATACTACAAATACATTCAAACTAAAAGTGGTGTGAGAGAGACAGTTCACTGAAAAATTAAAATTCTGTCATCATTTGTAATCTTTGCAGCATAGTAACCAAAACTAGTCATAACGCCATACTTAAAAATATATTCTTTTGTGAACCATTGGTCTAAAATCTACAAAATGGTTAGCTTATGAAAATAAATCGTAGACAAAACTAGAAAAAAAAATCCCACCGTGTCCAGACACTTGTGTTGAAAGGCATGGAACAATACTGTGTTTTATAGCATCTGTTGACTGTGGTATTTCTGTACATGTAATCTTACATTGGAGTTTACAAATACTGAATATCATGAAAGAAAGCATACGTACAGTAGAATAAATCAAAAGGCGGAACCATTCGAAAAACAAACGTTTCAGGGGAACACGACGTCGGCGCACACAACGCAAAGGACTTCAAAATTGCTGTTACAGAGCGTTGTAAGTTCAATATGTCAAATAGACATGAATGATTTACAAACGATTCAAAGAAGAAAGAAGATTGACAATGCTGATCTATCTTCCCCCCCCGTATTTAACATATTAGCAACGCTTGTTATTGCTTGTAACACCATTGATTAGTCAATAAGGGGCATTTCAATGGTCATAGCCAAGTTTAAGTGTAACACAAGCAGCATAATATTGAATATCTTAAAGTTGTATCAAGTTTGACTACTCTTACAGATTACTGGCACACAGTATTACAAGAAAAAAAGCCTTATTCACTCAACTTGACATTTTCATGACTCGTCAGTAATCTGTATTGAATACTGTGCATTGTGTTCTCTGCTGTTTGTTCATTGTTCCTGAAGAGCTCCCTCATCTGCACATGAATGCAAGTATACAATGAAGCGCCTGGCTACTTTGCAGTTGTGACATCTCTCGCGAAAAGTTGGTCATGACAGCTCAACAGACAAGATGATGTCAACCAGACTACTGGCACTGCTTCAACCACATGCAGTGAGGAGTCTTCTTCCACGTGCCATCTTCTCATCCAGACTAAGCCTAACATATCTCCTAATCTTACCTGGAATTGTCAAAGGAATTGGGAAATTTTGCTGTAACATTGGCCATAATCAATGTCAGATAATAATAATAATTTACTCACCCTCATGTCATTTCAAACCTGTATAACTTTATTTCTGTCAAACAAAAGGAGATATTTTAAATGTTGATGGTAATACATGTTTGGAACAATATGGGGGTGAGTAAATGATGACAGAAGTTTCATTTCTTGGTGAACTCTCACTTTAAAGGGGTCATATGATGTTGCTAGACTTTAGTCTGCAACTTTACAGATCTTCTTTATGCACCAAGAACTAGTAACACTTCAAAGAGAAAGGAAAAATTGAAATCGCATCATATGACCCCTTTAATCTGATTTGATATAGAACTCAAGTGGAAGACTTTGGTGTTTTTGTGAACATAGGAAGTTAACAGACCTGAGAGGCTTGCTTGACTTGTCAAATTAATTATCATTGAAGCTTCATTTAGTACCATTAAAATAGTGTATAAGCATAACATTATACAGGTGTATAATTTAAGCAGAATACTAAATCAGTTTAAACAATAATGTATGATTTGTACTACACTCTTACAAATAAAGGTTCCAAAAAGTGTTTTTTGCAACAATGCCATAAAAAACTATTTTGGGATCCCCAAAGAACCTTTCAGTGAATAGTTCTTAAAGGGATAGTTCAACCCAAAATTAACATTTTGTCATCATTTACTCGCTCTCATGTCGTTCCAAACCCGTATGAGTTTCTTTCTTATGTTGAACATAAAATAAGATATTTTGAAGACTGCTGGTAATGTAACAGTTGTTGTGGGTGAACTATTCCTTTAAAAGTACAATTTAATAATCTAAAGAAACTTTTTCTACTATAAAAAAAAATCTCTTGTGCAATGAAAAGTTTCCATGAAAGCTAAAGGTTCTTGATGGAACCATAGATGCCAATGAAGAACCTTTATTTTTTTAAGAGTGTAGTTTGTAGAAAGAATAAAGTTGGTATGAGTGTTCAAGGATGTGGGTTGTTGTTGTTGATGTTTTGTCAGTTTAATCAAGCTGAATCTTGAAAAGGTGGGTCAAATGATTGCTACAGCTAGACTGTTTAGCAAGGTTCAGGAAAGAAAACAGACCGCCTGGATCTGATCTTGGCTGCTGCTGGAATCTGATGTTGGGATGTGTCATATTTTTGGTAGGTGTCAAGGACAGCCACTCGGCCCATTGCTTCGGGGGAGATCACATCGTTTCAGGCTCTGGTTTTCGTCGGAGGCCAGCTGAGTTTAGCGCTGGGGGTTCTGCTCTGCCTCAATTACTACAGGTGCTTTATATTTTACAGTGTTTTTACACAATATTTTTGGTCACACTTTAGTTTGGGGACCACTTCTCACCATGAACTATTTACGACTTTTGCCTCAAACTTCTAATTTGCTATGTATTAATAGTAAAGTAGTTGTTAAGTTTAGGTATGGGCTAGAATTAAGGGATCTAAAATATGATCATGCAGAACAAGCCATTAATATGTGCTTTAGAAGTACTAATAAATAGGCAATATGACAGTAATATGCATGCTAATAAGCAACGAGACTAAAGTGTTACCAGTATTTTGCCAACATTTGGGACTAGAGTAAGATTGTAACTTTCAAGTTGATATTATAGTAATATTTATTTTATTGATGTATCTTTAAATGTAGATGAAAAGACGATTGCAATTTCTGTTTCATGGCAACTTTAATTTGACTAAATTTACTAATAAACTGTGACTTCCCATCTGTCTCTAGCATAGCTCTTGGAGCCGCCTCTTTGTCGCTGCTGGTTACATACCCTCTCATGAAGAGAATCACATACTGGCCAGTTTGTTTTAGGTGTGTTGCCATTAATGTACTAAACCCCTCCCTCCATATTATTGCTGAACATTTGCTCAAAGTATTTCTAAGACTGAACATTCTGTACATTTGTTGCCCCTGTAGGTCTCACTTTTAATTGGGGTGCTCTTCTGGGTTGGTCTGCTGTGAAGGGATCATGTGACTGGTCTGTGTGTTTACCTCTCTATGTATCTGGTGTTATGTGGACATTGATTTATGACACAATCTATGCCCATCAGGTACAGTGTGTGATTAGTCATCACACCCCTGAACATAAATTTGTGCCTTGTGTACATTTTGTGATCCATTTTCTCATCTCGAGTAGGACAAAGATGATGATTTAAAAGTGGGCGTGAAATCTACAGCTCTGAGGTTTCAGGAGAACACCAAATTGTGGCCGAGTGGCTTCACTGGGGTGATGCTGTCAGGGCTGGTTCTAGCAGGAGCTAATGCTGACCAGACTTTGCCCTACTATTGTGCAGTGTGTGCAGTGGCCATTCATCTAGCACATCAGGTGAGCAGGATAGACTGCTTGATAATAGTAGCCTGGGGTTACAAGAAAACCAATGAAGAGAAAAACTTTGGGTTATTAGTTGTTTAAAAATCTAAATTAAATTACATGGTATGCCAGATTAAGTATATGAAAAGAGCTCTTAAATAAAAGATTACATTAAAAAAAAGTTATGTTAAATGAATAATTTATTCTGTGTTCCACAGATCTACGCTGTGGACATCAACAGACCTGAGTACTGCTGGAAAAAATTTGCTTCAAACCGAAACCTCGGACTGCTTTTATTTTTAGGAATAGTGACTGGAAACTTATGGAAAAAGAGAAACGATCATCAGTATGAAACGCAGCTAAACTCCATTTCAAATTAGAACGCATGCCGATTTTGTGACATGGAATACCACCATTGATTTAGGAAACGTATGTAAACCAGTTAGTTTTAAAATATTTATTAAATGGCTACAAACAGGCTCGATTCCTTCAATAATTTGAAAACATACATCTATAAAATTAATGTTAACATTGAGAACAGTGCCAGTAAGTTATGCCTACAAACAGACCAAAACACATTTTTATTCACTGTATAAAAAAAATATTTGGGTAAGAACAAAAAACAAACCCCTATACAGGTCGATTACAGTATCTGAATCAGATTTGGATTGTTTTAGTAGAGTAACAGAGGAGAGGTCAGCTATTTGTGCATTGTATGCAATAGGAAATCTGAGGCTCCATGAACGTACCGAGGAGACTGTAATCACAGGGAGGAATAAATGATCATATTTGATGGGAATGGTTCATTTGGATGAATTAGCATTTCATTGAGTAATGAGGTCACGAAGAAGCCCTTTCCTCATATGGAGACTCATAGACGTCCATAGGTGGACAGGTGCAGACGAGATGTTGGTCTCCATAGATGTCATCGATCCTTGAAATTGTGGGCCAGAACTTGGTCTCGGGTCTCACGAAAGGCTGAAATAACATTTTAAAACTGATTGAATAAAAACGTTTATTTTAAGTAAGGTTTATGTATTTTTACATTAATGTATGCTACACACCACGGGGAAAGCAGCATACTCTCTGGAGTAAGGTCTGTTCCATGTGGTAGAAGTAATACAGGCCAGTGAGTGAGGAGCCATCTTTGGAAAACATGTGAAAGACAAGTTAGAGCAACTAGAGGAAGATCCAGATTCAATACAATTTCGGCTCAAGAATTAATGGCACTAATGAAAGTCTATTGGGCAAAGACAATCTGCAGGGTTTAAAAGCAGAAATGAGAAATGTTTTTTTTTAAAAGCGCTTATATTAATTCTTCTGGGCATAAAATGTGACACGGAGTACAAATAATGCCATGCTCCATAAACTTCTAGTACATGTGCATTACTGTACACATGATTAAAGCTGCACAGATGCTGCCGATATGGAGTGTTCTGGATTCTGGATTCTTTAAAACGCTCACCTTGAGAGGATTAACCCTTGAGTCCATCCGTCCCTCTTCGATGTCTGCGATTTCCTGTCGGATGGCCAGCAACGAGTCACAGAAGCGGTCGAGCTCAGCCTTGTCCTCAGACTCTGTGGGTTCGATCATCAGAGTTCCAGCCACAGGCCATGACATGGTCGGTGCATGAAAACCTGTCATAAAAGGTGGCGGAGAATCAGTCAATTATCAGACAATTTAAAGCCAAAAATATTTACTTCACGGATGTTTTTCACTTGCCATAATCTTGCAGTCGTTTTGCTACATCAACTGCCTCAATGTTTGCGGACTTTTTAAAAGGCCGCACATCCAAAATAAACTCATGAGCAACGAATCCTGCAAATGCAAAATAGTCAGTAAGTGTTTGTGAGGAACTTTTAAGATCAAAAATGCAATATTTTATTCAATAAAGTCAACCTTTAGAGCCCCTGAAAAGAATTTTGTAGTGGTTTTCCAGTCTTTTAGCCATGTAATTGGCATTAAGGATGGCCACCTCTGTAGCATGAACAAGACCCTTTGAACCCATCATCTGTTGAATAGAAAATAAATCAAATATTAGATGAATAAATTAGGATGATATACAGTACCATATCAGCTGATTTTTTTATTTTATTTATTGGTATTTGGCTATATAAATATATATATATATATATATATATTGGATTTCATTGTGCTGCTCCTTCTATTTTTACATTTACATTACCTTTGCTTTCATCTAAAACTCACTAAAAGTTAATCTTTAAAATCATTAAAAGTTTAACCAACGTAATCTTAGCAAATCTCAAAATAAATGTGCATTGTTTATGCTGTACCATTTAATGTTGTAAAACCTAAATTTTGCTTGTAAGATTGAAAATTAGTGTCTTATTTTTAATGATAATAATGAAGCATCCCTATTACTCAGATAGGTAAAAAATGTAAGACTTGAGTGTTGACCTTAATGTAAGCCCATGAGATGGGCAGGATGGCGCTGGAGCCCCAGGGAGCAGCACTGATGGTGCCCAAAGAACTTCCTGCATTACTGGACTGCATGTTCACCACTGGATGACTGGGCAGGAAGGGGGCAAGATGCAGTTTCCTGTTGGAAAAAGCCATATGGTTAACTGGAGTCAACAGATCAACTGTTCTGGTAGATTGAGTAGGGCAGGTCTGCTCACTTCAAAACACTTACACTCCTATTGGTCCCATTCCAGGGCCACCACCACCGTGAGGAATGCAGAAGGTTTTATGGAGATTCAAGTGAGAAACATCTGAGCCATAGTCTCCTGGTCGACATAATCCAACCTGAATCAGAAGAACATGAACGTTCAATGTAAAACCTACTGTGGATGACGCTCACTCTGTAACACTTCTCAATTCTACAACTTAGAGCATTTAATCATCATCAATCCAGGAATATAGTGCATGATTAATTCATAACATAAACGGTTAATGTAAAAAAAAAAATTTAATTGTTAGTCCATATTGTAACTAATGTTAATGGTCACTACTATATGGTAAAATGTTTCTGTATGCTCTTCATCTGACCTGTGCGTTCATGTTGGCACCATCCAGGTATACCTGTCCGCCGTTCTGATGGATGAGCTCACACACTTCTCTCACGTTCTCCTCAAACACACCGTTAGTGGAGGGGTATGTGATCATAATGGCAGCCAAATTGGCCTTATGTTTGTCCACCTGACAAAAACAAAAAAAGGGGATACATTTAGTTGATTGAGTAAAGTGCATCTTTAAAAGGTTAAGCATGTCATTCTTTGGATGTTAAACACTTTCTCCTTTCCAAAACCAAAGCTATTCATAGGTTGGTTCCCTCTAAAACGTGTAAACACTGAGCTTTCAAAACATTGTTTGTTTGAGCATGATGACACAGCAGCAACATGTGAGTTTGGAGTATTTGTTTGCTCAACCAATGGCAGTCAGGAGGTGTGTTCAGGAAGCCAGTTTGAACCTCAAACTAATTTTTGCAATTTAATTTGGTGCTGCTAGCGGTGCAGAAATTACACACTTCACCTTTAACACTTACAAGATAATGTTATCATAGGGAAGTGTGTCAGTGTAAATAGCTAACATAAGATAAAGGCTTCCTGTTGACAGGAGATGCAAAATGTGACACTTCAAATTACTGTACATACCATGGCTTTAAGGTGAGACACATCGATGTTGCCATCTTTATCCACCTCCACCACCTGAACCTTCATTCCTGCCATCTGAGCGCTGGCAGGGTTTGTTCCATGAGCAGATTTGGGAATCAGACAAACCTGAACAAATTCATAACAGATTTGATGCATTAGATTAATGGACAAAACAAACATATAAACAAGAACAACAAACATTTATTTCTGTAACTAAGGAAACCTAAAGTTGAAGTTTAGAAGGTTTGTCAATGTTCTCTTAACCCCGTTTGTTTGTATACGCATGCCATTAATGCTTTTATGACTCCAAAAAGTGTAAACATGAAGTCTCCCAAGACACCATCAAAACCTTCAAAGTGGTCCACTAAGATCAGTCAGACAACAGGGTAAAAACAAAAGATAAAAACTGGCAATGCTTTTAGATGGAGGCGTGTGATGAAATATTCAGGTTTCAATAGCTATAAAGCCACAATAAGCCCATGGAGCTAACTTGCCAATCCATCTTGAATGACACAGAGCAACGTAGACAGGTGAACTCTGACCAATTAAGAGGACAGCTTTACTCACATGTGACTTGCATAAACACAGTCCGGTATGCTTTGCAATGTTGCCTTGTGAAAGCAAACCAAACCAAGAAGAAAATGCAACATTGTAACAAATTAAGACCCTCTTTCGGAACAAAGCAAACGTTCTAAAGGTCTGAAAACGCCCTAAGGAGCATCTGCAATGGTTGTTGCTTATGCAGAAACTGCATACTTTAATGGTTGTTTAACATACATAGAACCCAATTTTTTGTTGTCTTATTTAAACACTTCATGTAAAACAGATTTACGACACCAAGCTTGCCAAGGTGTGACACCACATTTAAAATTACTTGTACTGAAAATTTCAGTCTGTTCCTCACAAAGCCATTGTAGCTCATAAGGACTACTTTTATAAAGCCACTAGTCTAGGTCTGCTTTCATTATGAATCCTTTTGTTTTCCAGACATTCAAACTGAAATGAGGGCGAGTAAAAAAAAAAAAAAAAAATCACAGAATTTTCGTTTGTTTTTTTATCAATACTACATGACAGACATTCTGAACTAAGGACACAGTAGTCTAAATGCTTAACATTATGCAATTTTCAATAGGTCACCATGGACAAACTCATCGTCCAAAGACTGCATGTCTTAAAAATCTCCAAATATGGAATCTTGCTCTGAAGTTGAATCCTGTAACGGGGTGGTTGTTTTCTATGGCTATTTACTCAACCATGGCAGTTTGAACCTTGGCTGGTTTAAGAGCTGCATCCGCTATCGAAGATCTGCTTATTAGGAAGATGATAAAAAAACAAACAAAGGCCAGATTACAAAACACTGCAATGACTTGACTAAACGTTCTTATCGCTGACCTTCTTTCCACTCCCCACTAACAATTTACCACTTTTTCAGCTATTTTCGCTCAAAACACTTTTGACCATTTTTCACTTTTCACTGTGGACAGAATTTAACTTTGTATTACTCATGAACCGTTTGTTTTCCTTTCAAGCAGCAATTCTATTTCTGTCAGGGGTTTAATCACTTATGGGTGACATATTTGAAAACTTTCATAATTTTCATGTTTTTGGGAACATAATACAAGAAACAACAAAAAGTATCTGTATATATTATAGTTGTATATAATGATTGTATCTATATACAAATATAATACAATATTACATAAGTAATACTAAATTATACTTTTATATAATTATATCTATTTGGCCTACTTTGAACAATTTTTTTTTAATGGAGGACATTTGAAGCGTCTTATCAGATTGCCATTCTGCTTACAATCAGTTTTCACAAGATGAGGAAAAGTCATGAAGGGTCAACCGGATACTTCAAATGTCACGTACGTTTTTGAATGGCCCTGAGGTAAAACACAAGGCTTGAGGTTAAATCAGAGGAGACTTTGCTACAGAGTGTTTTCACTGCAGGGTGATACTCACTGTTCTGTGAGATTCTCCTTTGGAATTTAGATAGGCTTTGATTGCAGCCAAGCCTGCATATTCCCCCTGCGCGCCACTACGGGACAAAGAAAAATCAATAGCATCATGTATATGTAAGCGTACTGCTTCAGCACAGCAGAGTTCAAAGATTGCTTCAAAAGGCTCTTGCCCAAGAGTACTGTATGCTAATGATCCTGTTAAAGTGTCAACCAAGCAGAACGTATAGATGCCTACACACACCCCCAAAACTTATCAGCACCAGAAACCTGAACGAAACCGAATGCACCATGTTGACATTTGCTTTGTCAACTATAAGACCACTGTTGACAAATGAGAATAAATCACGTTTTTGATACCGTAACAACAATATCAGGCAGGACACTTGCCTATTTGGTTGAAAGGAGATCTTATCATATCCTGTAATCTCACAAAGGTCTCTCTCTAGCTGTCTGAAGAGCTGCTGATAACCTTCGGCCTGATCCAGTGGCACGAAAGGGTGGATGTTTGCAAATTCTCTCCAGGTGATTGGCTGTTGTGAAAAGTTTACAATGAATCAGTGAATAGATCAGACTGGATCAAATGAGGCAATGTCATAGATACAGTAAAAAGGAGGGCTGATATTAAAGAGCAGATTAATATTGACTCACCATGAGCTCTGAGGAACTGTTCAGCTTCATTGTGCATGAACCCTGGATTCAACAGCAGAGTTTTAATGTGATGTTTGCATGTAAAATCATTACAGTGGATAAATACCATTGTAAACGGATTCTTTACCTACCAAAGGAATCATACTGTGTACGAGGGAAATATCCTTATTTTCCAGGCGCTTCATGTAACGTACAATATTGGTCTCTGAGTGATAACTGAATTTAAAAGCAATATATACAAATAATAATAATTATTATTATTATTACTATACAGAAATAGCCCATCCATATATTTAGACAAACAAGAACCAGTTTTTCTGATTTTGTATCAAGTTTCATTGATTTTTCACAGATTTGTTAGAAACAACAACTAGCACTGAAACTGGTAAACAAACCTGTTAAACACTGGATGGGTAAGAAACTTGCTAGTTCTCTTGAAAGGGCTTGCCAGCAGTCCTTTTGTTCGCTCACTCATTTTCTCAGCAATAAGCTCCTGATAAATGTCAAAGAGAAGAGATGTCATTGGGGGAAAAGAGAATAAATGTTTTTTAGCAATAATTGAAATATTGAATCAGGCGAGAACTTACAGCGGAGGACTCGCAACCGAAGATCCAGAGCAGATCATCTAAGTCTCTCTCAGTGACAGTTTCATCCAGAGACACTCCGAGCTAAAACCACATCAACAAACATCATTAAAAACATTAAATAAATTAAGAAAATAAATAAAATGTCAATTTTTTTAATGAATAAAACAAAAGTAGCATTGCCTATTTGTGTTTTTTTTTTTTTTTTTTTTACATTTTCACAGGCCTCACCAGTCCATCACTGTACACCCGTAGGTTGATCTCCCGCTGCATAGCTTTTTCCAAGATGTCCTTGCCAGCCACACCACAGTTGATCTTCAGCGTGTCAAAGAAAAAAAAAAAAAAATTCAGTATCATAACATTTCTTATTCAAAGAAAAAAAAAAAAAGTAAACAGGAGTCAAACAACTTGCCCTCAGCGAGAATCAACGTTGCATTGTGGGTTCTCTCTGCAATGTGCCTCAATCCTTGAGGACCATGATACAACGCAAACATGGAGGCCATGTTTGCAAGAAGAGCCTGTGTTAAGACATTAAAACTGAGTACAGATATTCAACATATACATACACATACACATATATATATATACATACATACATACATACACACACACACACACACATTATATATACACACACACACACACACACTCTGTTTTTTTCAGATTTGTGAAGCTCTACCTGGGCAGTGCAGATGTTGCTGGTGGCTTTGTCCCTGCGGATGTGCTGCTCTCTTGTCTGGAGAGCCAGACGATAAACCTCTTTACCAGCCGCATCTCTGTAACAGGAAACCTTTGACAATTGATACCAATACTGAGGAGGAAAAATACACTGAATCCTATAAATTACAGACTTACCTGGTCACTCCAACCATCCTTCCTGGCATCATCCTGACCAGATTTTCTTTGACTGCAAAGAATGCAGCATGAGGCCCACCATAGCAGAGAGGCACTCCGAAGCGCTGTGAGCTGCCCAAGGCGATGTCAACTCCAAACTCACTCAGAGGACGCAACACGCAGAGCGCCAGTAAGTCTGTGGCACAGCAAGCCAATGCCTTTGATAAAAATGGACCAAAAAATAAATGGCTAACATTTCACAAAAAAAAATCTAATCAAATCTGGTGCTTTTGAACATGTCTAAATCAGTTGCTGTAATAGATCTGTGCACAAAAACTAATAACAGATTCTGTTGTTGCAATTAAGGACCAATTGGATAGTTCACCCACAAATGACAATTGTCATCATTTACTCACCCTCATGTCATTCCAAACGTGTCTGACTTTTTTCCCTTTTCTTTTTCCCTTTTTTTACATGGATCACAAATGGAGATTTTTAATAACACTCAAATCTCACTTCCATAGATTCAAGTTGGCCATGAAGATAGGCCACACCAGGTTTCACATCAGTGTTTGACAGCTCCAAACAATTTAGTAGTATGGAAAGAACAATGTGCTCTTCGAAATTTCCCCTTTTGTGTTTTACAGAAGAAAACACAAGTCAAACTGGTTTGGAGCAGCATGAGGGTGAATAAATCAGTTGAGTGAATGGATCAAGTTAAAACCTAATATGCAAAAACTGGTATCAGAAACTGAAAATGTGAATTCTATAATGACATATGGAGGCGAGATGTACATACACAACCCTTGTGAGCCCGATCAACAAGTGCAGTGAAATCTTCCACTCTGCCTTCAGTGTCTGGATACTGGAAGAGCACACCGCTAACATCCTTCCCACTGAAGTCCATCTCATGAGGAAGCTTGAGAAGAGTCTTTACACCAATGTAACTAAAGGATACAAACTTTTAATCAATACAGACAGATAGAGAGTAGGCTTGCCACGACAGACGGTGCTGACGGTGATACAGCGTGTATCCGCTGTAAGCCGCAACACCAGTTACGTCACTTGCCCACCGTGTCACCAACCCCCACCGTCGTTTTTGATTTTTTTTATAGTAATAAAAATAATTTAGTTCAGTAAAAGAACAGACACTACAATTAAAAACTGAACGCGGCTGCTCAATGCAGTTGAACGACAGTTGCATCACAGATCAGATTTCATTTATCCAGTGAGGAGAGTGAGTCGAGCTGACTGACAAGAAGAGTGAGGTGAGACAGACAAGACGATCGCGGATGATTTAGTTTCGAAACGAAATGCAAAAGCGCCTGTTTGGCAATATTTTGAATTTTGAAAAGCCTGTTGACTTTTGTTTTTTTTAAACATTTGTTTCTTATTTAATTGGTTCCACATTGTTTGCTGATTTTTACTTTATTTAAACTGTGTCATTTATTTATTTTATTTGACATCAAGGTGTAGGCCTATGCGGTGCCTCCAAGCTTTCTTATTCGTTTTGCTAATAATCTATCTACGTTTCTTATTTATTTGGTTATATATTATACATGTTTACTTGTTTCCAGTTTTGTACATTTAAACTTTATGCAAGTTATAGGTTATTTTATATTAGGCATAGCCTGCCCTATAGCATGGTGTATTTTTATTTGTTTTGTTAATAAAAGTTCTGTTTTATATACAAGCTAAGGTGAGTTTGGCGTTGTATTTTGTTGTTGCATTCAAGCAATTGACACCAAACTGCCGCTAATTCGAAAGGGAGAGTAAAATGCGCACGGCGCTTTTAAGCCATTTAAACAGCGAATGAAAGCGAGGAAAAGAGGGAAAATTCAAACGAACCAAAAACAAACAATTGCTTTACTCCGAATTGCCGCTATTTGAAAGTGAAAATAAAATGCGCACGCCGCTTTTACAAGCCATTTAAAAGCGAAGGAAAGCGAGGAAAAGAGGGAACGCCCCGCCCCCGTGGTGATACCGGTATTACCGGTGTTGTCACACGTCGATTAACCAGTGGGAAAATTTCCTCACCGTCACAACCCTAATAGAGAGACAGACAGACAGGTAGAGAGACAAAGACAGATGTTAGAGAGACAGAGATAAAGACAGATGGGTAGAAAGACACAGACAGACAGACCGACAAAGACAGATAGGTAGAGAGACAAAGAGACCGATACACAGAAAAATAAAGATAGACAGACAGACAGACAAAGACAGATGGGTAGAGAGACAAAGAGACCGATAGACAGAAAAATAAAGATAGACAGACAGACAGACACAGACCACACAGACAGACAGAGATAGATAGACAGACAGACACAGACCACACAGATAGACAGACAGACAGACAGACAGACAGATAGATAGAAACATAAAGGTAAAGAGATAGAGAGACAGACAGACGGGTAAAGAGAGAGATACAGATAGACAGAGACGGACAGAAGTACAGACAGACAGACAGACAGACACAGACCACACAGACAGACAGAGATAGATAGACAGACAGACACAGACCACACAGATAGACAGACAGACAGACAGACAGATAGATAGAAACATAAAGGTAAAGAGATAGAGAGACAGACAGACGGGTAAAGAGAGAGATACAGATAGACAGAGACGGACAGAAGTACAGACAGACAGACAGAAGTACAGACAGACAGAAAAAGACAGATGGGTAAAAAGATGGAGACAGAAGTTTAGGTAGGATAGACAGAAAGATAGATAGACAGAAAGACAGACTGACAGACAAACAGATGAAGAGACATACATATAGAAGGATAGAAAGATAAATAGAGACAGACAGATAGATAGAAAATAGAGATACAGATAGATAAAGAGAGAGATAGAAAGACGGGTGGACAGATAGATATTTCTTTATTCTATATGTTGATGACCTTCCTTACTTGGCTCTGGTTTGCACAACTGCAACAGTCTGTGGATGGCAGCGTGGGTCAATGTAGAACATTCTTCTTTTGTTTTGCCTTTGAAAAGGAACAGGTGAGTGTTAATTATCACTCCCAGCCCTGGGGAAACACCATTCTGCATGCCAAAGACCTGAATGAGCAGGTTCAGGTGTTGGCTAACAGACTAAAGGTCTCCTTGATAAATGGAATCGTGTTCTTCACAGATGTTTCCAGCAGTAAGCGTACTAACCTGTTGCAGAGCTGCATGGCCTCAGCAGCAGCAGTACCCTCATCCAGCAATGACGCATTAGCTACTGCCATTCCCGTGATGTCACAGACCATGGTCTGATAATTCAGAAGGCTCTCCAGACGCCCCTGAGAGACCTCAGGCTGGTAGGGGGTGTACTGGGTCACCCTATAGAGAACACAAAAACTCATTGAATCCCTAACCAAAATGCGCACGGTGCGCACGGCGCTTTTAAGCCATTTAAACAGCGAATGAAAGCGAGGAAAAGAGGGAAAATCCAAAAACAACAAAAACAAACAATTGCTTTACTCCGAATTGCCGCTATTTGAAAGTGAAAATAAAATGC